AAAATATATCCAAGTTTTCTTAATTTCATGGGCTTCCCAAGTGATGCTAGTGGTAAAGAACCTGCCTGCCAGTGTAGGAGACTTTAGAGATGTAGGCTTGATCCCTGGATTGGTAAGATCCCTTGGAGAAGGGAATGGCAACCCACTCCAGGATTCTTGCCTGCAGAATACCATGGACAGAGGAGCCTGGAGGGCTGTGGTCCATAGGATTGCATAGAGTTGGATATGATTGAAGCAACTTAGCACTAGCACTCTCTTAATTTATATAGTGTTCTGCTTACCTGCCACCTTGCCTGCCTCCTGAGAAACCTGTATGCAGGTCAAGAAGCAACAGTTAGAACCAGACATGGAACAATGGACTGGTTCAAAATTGGGAAAGAAATACATCAAGGCTGTGTATTGTCACCCTGCTTATTTAACTTATATGCAGAGTATATCGTGTGAAATGCTGGGCTGGATGAAGGAAACTGAAATCAAGATTGGCGGGAGAGATATCGGTAACTTCAGATATGCAGATAACACCACCCTTATGGCAGAAAGTGAAGAGGAACTAAAGAACCTCATGATGAAAGTGAAAGAGGAGAGTGAAAAAGCTGGCTTTTCAACATTTTTTCAACATTCAGTAAATGAAGATCATGGCATCTGGTCCCATCACTTCATGACAGATAGATGGAGAAACAATGGAAACAGTGACAGACTTTATTTTCTTGGGCTCCAAAATCACTGCAGATGGTACTGCATCCATGAAATTAAATGATGCTTGCTCCTTGAAAGAAAAGCTATGACAAACCTAGAAAGCTCATTAAAAAGTAGAGCCATTACATTGCCAATAAAGGTCTGTCAAGTCAAAGCTATGGTTTTTCCAGTAGTCATGTATGGATGTGAGAGTTGAACCATAAAGAAGGCTGAGTGCTGAAGAATTGATGCTTTTAAACTGTGGTGTTGAAGAAGGCTCTTGAGAGTCCCTAGGGCTTCAAGGAGATCAAACCAGTCAATCCTAAAGAAAATCAGTCCTGAATATTCAGGGAAGGACTGATGCTGAAGCTGAAGCTCCAATACTTAGGCCATCTGATGCGAAGAGCTGACTCATGAAAGACTCTGTTGCTGGGAAAGATTGAAGGCAGGAGGAGAAAGGGACGACAGAGGGTGAGATGGTTGATGTCATCACACACTGAATGAACATGAGTTTGAGCATCGTCCGGGAGACGGTGGACAGGGAAACCTGGTGTGCCGCAGTCCATGGGGTTGCAAAGCGTCGGACATGACTGAGTGACTGAACAACAAATAATGTGCTCTCGGGCATAGGTTTCTTGCTTGTGTGTGTGTGTAAAGTCATTTCAGGCGTGTTTGACTCCTTGTGACCCCGTGGACGGTAGCCCACCAGGCTCCTCTGTCCATGGGATTCTCCAGGCAAGCATACTGGAGTGGATTACCATGCCCTCCTCCTGGGGATCTTCCTGACCCAGGGATTGAACCCATGTCTTTTATGCCTCTTTCATTGGCAAGTGGGTTCTTTACCACTAGCACCACCTGGGAAGCCTGGATTTCTCAGTTACGTAATCTAAAATTGTACATACTATATGTTCCTCCCTGACAATAAAGAGATTTGAAGGGACTCTCTTCAGAAACTGTATAGGGAATTAGGCAGCTGCTGTCCTTGGTGATGAAATTATTTCATGTGAATTCTTAAGGAAAACAACTAGTTAAAAAAGTGGGATAATCTTAAGTGTATTGTTTGTGACTACTGTTGGTATGAAGATAGATCTGTTTGAACTAGAAAAATACAGACTGCAGTATCTTAATGTCTTGAGTTCCTGACTGCCATGCAGAGGAAATGTTTAACTATTTTAATCATGTTTCTATATCTCAGAAAGAAAGCCCTTATGAAAGGAAATGACAGCGTCCTACCACAAAGTTATCTCTTATCAGTTATAGTCTTAGTCGATAATGATTTGTCAAACTTGGACATGTGTAAAATGCAAGGGCTGTGTTATTTACTTTGGAAAGGAAAAATTAGATGAAGCTGATAAGGACGGAGTCATGGCTTTTGTTAGGAGACAGAAACCATTAAAGGCAGTCATTGTTAGCTTAGGAAAGTGTCCTTGGACCCCTCCCTCTGTCCCAGCTGAAACCTAAACCTGCTTGAATCATTCTTTGCAACTTGAGGGGAGGGAGGGACCACTGAGGAGGAGAAGAATGAAGACAGCCCTGACAGAGATTTAGCATTTTAAATGGGGAGCAAAACTTGGGCCTTGAAACAGACTGTTTATTTGAGTCAGGAAACACTGCCTTTTGTTCTGGTACTCACTCCCATTTATTTAGGTTTTTGAAAGTTCATTTCTTATCCTTCCAAACATGTAGCATTCCTTCACGTACAGTGTATGTTGCTCTCCTCCTTTCACCTTTCTGTAGATGTGATTCTTTTTCATTAGTGGAAGCAGAGAAAACACATTTAGCTCAAAGCAACATGAGTCAGTGCATGCTTTACATACCTTTCTTCTCACAGCACTCTTCTGGTTTCCTCACAGTGTTCCTAGTGTTCCTCACAGAAGGGAGCGTGGAGGAAAAATGATTTCTAAATAGTAGGCTATTTGGAGGGTGGAAGTAAAGTTTGTGAACTTAAGCTCCATTCTGCTCCTTTTTATCTTGATTTCTGTGTACCACCTTCAAGGCAGGAAAGCATGTCCTTAGGAGGACTTAACTGGATTATGATTTCAGAGGCTCAGAAATAGCTTTGTCCTCTACGTCAGAGTACTTAAAACAGTTAGAAGCTGAATATGATGATGTCAAGACAGCCTTACAGAGAATAGATTTGGTTGTAAAATTTGGAGGAAATATTTTGTTTTGCTTAATACTTGCTTTTCAGTATTTCCTTGGAGATGACAGCAAAGGCCTTTGTCTCTTCTCTAATTATGTCTATTTTTGAGTTGGTCCAGAAAAACCAAGTCTTCTCATGCATTAGTAAAGGGCCCCATTAGGTTATTTGTTACAGATTTCTAGGGAAATTGTCCCCTAAGGTGGGATGTTCATTCTTTAAGGATGGGTCTGACATGTGAAAGGGCTAAGACTCTGAGCAATGGCTAGAAGCAGGTTCCTTTTGAATGAAACTATGGCTTTGAGTTCAAAGCAAAACAAAACAAACTCTATGAAGAACATAGAAACAAAGTTGTGATGAAATTTGTTGTTTAAAATTATTCTTAATATTTTTAAAGGATATATTTCTAAAAATAACTTTATAATCATTAATTCTAAATAAAAGGAAAAAGTTTAATTTTCCATATGGATCAAAGTAATTCTTTTTATGCATTTCTTTTCTTGTCTTTTTCATGTATACATGTAATTTTTAGGTAATTTGAATACTATTGTAAATATAATTTTATGGGAATTTTCTCTGTTTCTTCCTTTGAAATTGTTTTTCACTTAGCTACTGTTTTCACTGGTAAGCTCTGATTTTCTGGAAAAATAAAATAAATTTCCTTGAAATCAAAGAGGAGCGACTATAACAAGGGGCTTTAATGTTGTAGTCATTTCACAGAAGTGTCTGTAATGATCACCTATTGCCCTCTGTGTTAAGATGAAAATGAATGTCCATTTGTATTCTTAAAGTTAGAATTTTTACATGCTTTTTAGTCATACTTTTCTTTACCTACATGGTGCCATTAAATGTTTTTCTTAGTAATTTGGCAGTGCTCACTAACTCTTCTAGATTTTTTTTTTTTTTAAGTAAAACTATGCTTTGGCCATGGTGTAGGATCTTGAGCACTTATCAGTCTTTGGAGTCACAAAAAAGTTTGTGTGGAGTGCTTATAGATATATACTATATTGAGTGAGATTCCCAAACATAGAGATTTAATTTCTGATCTCATGCATGCAAAGCAAATAAACAGAACAGTCAATAAATTTGAACCAATATATAGAGACATGTGATGGTTTTGAAGGGAAAAGAAAATGGATATTGTACTATTGAATTGCAGAATGAATAGGTTTCATTAGAAAAAGCATCTTGATGAAGAATCAGTTCGCCCAAAGAAGATATGAGGTTTACTTTTATGAAGTAAAGGAAACTGACCTTATAATCACGAGTCAGCTCAAACCAATTTAGATGTGCCTGCTACTCGTATTCAGATGAATCATACAAGTTACTAGTGTTGTACTAAAAACTTTAGTCTTAACACATGTAAATCCATGGCTGATTCATGTCAATGTATGGCAGAAACCACTACAATATTATAAAGTAATTAGCCTCCAACTAATAAAAATAAATTAAAAAAAATAACTTTAGTCTTTGTCTTTCTTTAGTCTTTAGTTATATTTTAGTCTTTATTTTGACTGCTGTATTTCTTCATGTAATTTTGTCTTTTCTTTTTTGTTCTGTTTTGCTTAATACTTGCTTTTCAGTGTTTCCTTTTATTCTTATTAAATTTATTTAGGTCAACTAATATTTTCTTTTTTCGGATGAGGAAATTGAGGTCAAAGTAAATTGTGACTTATTCATCATCATGATTGTAATGAATCAGTTTTAGCACTGTGACTATAATGCAGTTCTTACCTGAAGTTTTTTGTTTTACTTTCCTCTTTTGATGTCCAGGATTAATCTGTATGCATTTTTCATACTATAATTTGTTGATACTCTAGGTTTGATTTATTTTTAAAAATATCGTCTCCCCTCTTTTCTTGGAGTATTTCTGTATTTGACTGCATGCTGGCTTAAATATTCACAGATTCTAATGCCCTTTCCTGCTTTTTTTCTGCAGCCTCCAAATGTATCTCTAAAAGCATATGCAAGACCAGAGATACCTGTTACTCTTCTCTGTTATCTGTTCTTCAGTTCTGTGTCCCAGCCTTGATGCTAGCCTCACTATTCTTTAATCTATGACTGAAATGCTAAAGCTAGGTTTCTTGAAGCATACTTTGTTGTAACACTTTAGTATTAAAAATGAGTGCTGTTGCTCTTAATAGCTTTGTTTGAATATTTTGTGACAATTTTGGTTGTTTTGCAGGTACCTGGGGCCCAAGATTTGGTTGATTTCTCTCCTGTTTATCGATGTCTACACATATATTCTGTCTTGGTGAGTCTTTGGCTTTGCCTAATAAAACTCTATATTGAATTCAAATCTCTGCTTTCTCATATTTGATAGTTTTTCTGCTTATTATTAAGCAATAAGAAACTATTATTAAGGAATTGTTATTGTTGTTCAGTCACTAAGTCGTGTCTGAGTCTTGAGACCCCGCGGACTGTAGCATACCAGGCTCCTCTGTCCTCCACTATCCCCCAGAGTTTGCTCAAATTCATGTCTGTTGAATCAGTGATTCTGTTTAACCATCTCATCCTCTGCTGCTCCCTTCTCCTTTTTTAAGGAGTATCAGTTATTAAAAAATAATCTTTTCATTTCTTCTTGAATCTTTTATTTACCTTTGCCATGTCATATGTGGTAGTTAGTAACATTAATTTCTGTCAGTCTTCAACAGATTATTAGATTATAGCTGAAAATAGTGACACACAAGTTTGAGTTTCTACTGTTAATTTAAAAATGTGATATTCATATAACAATAGCCTATCTTTAAATATTAAAATACGATTTTTTTTTTTATTCCTGATGGTAATTACTCCTTTGTCATGTAACACATATGGAAAGAGGAACCTCTCGGAGGAGAAATACTGTGGATATCAATGTCATTCTAAGAAAGGCGCTTTATCCTTGTTGGTAGTATACCTACATGCAGACACACAGATACATACAATCAGTAAAAAAATTAAAGTATCATCAAAGACAAATTGATGAGAAAAGTCCATTATCAATACATTTTATAGCAAAATTCAGTGAATCTTCTATCAGGTTTTCAGCCTATTTGAATATGTCTTATTGCCTAGTGTGTTATCCATATTCTTTCCTTATATATTTACCATAGTATCATTACTCCAGATAGTTTGGGTGGACTTTATAGCTGGAAGTGTCTTTGGTAACCTCCCGTAGCTTGAGAAAAGAACTGATAGCTTCTTCCCCTCTTCTTCCTCCTCTGACTTGTTGCTGTCTCCTTCCCTCTTCCCCTCTCCCCCTCTCCCTGTTTTCTCACTTTCTATTCCTTTTCTCTGTTCATCATTCTTTTGTATAAAAATGGGACTTCCCTGGTGGCTCAGCTGGTAAAGAATCCACCTGCAATGCCAGAGACCTGGGTTTGATCCCTGGGTTGGGAAGATCCCTTGAAGAAGGGAACGGCTACACATTCCAGTATTCTGGCCTGGAGAATTCCATAGACTGTATAGTCCATTGGGTCACAAAGAGTCGGACATGACTGAAGCAAGATACAGATAAAATTGTATCAAAACGTCTAAAATAAGTTGACTGCTTCTTTTTAATATCATGCGTGTGAAAGTCACTCAGTTTTGTCAGACTCTTTGCGACCACATGGACTATAGCCTGCCAGGCTCCTTCGTCCATGGAATTCTGCAGGCAAGAATACTGGAGTTGATAGCTATTCCGTTCTCCAGGGCATCTTCATAACCCAGGGATCGAACCCAGGTCTCCCTCATTGCAGTCATATGCTTTACCGTCTGAGCCACCAGGAGAATTATATACATTTTAGTTTGTCACATGCTTTTTTTTGTCATTTCATATAAGATCCCCTGTTGTATTGCATTTTAACATGGTTTTTCCATTCATCCCCTGTCCATAACTCCACTTGTCTCTCATCCCCAGTTATACTAACTCTTAATATGTTTAGCATACGATCATGGTTATGTTTTTGTTTTTGAAAAGTAGATAGTAACTTTGTATTTGATTTTAACTTATTCAAATAGTATTGTCTTATGGACCTAGTTCTGTTTCTTATATCTTTGTTTAGTACTGTTTTTTATATCTGTTCCTCATTATAGTTTGTACATTTAGTTCATTGCCTCCTGCTTATATGTGATAGTTAATTGATCCCATTTGTATTTGCTGTGTTTTAAATTATCTATTACTTTAGTGTGTGTTAGTCACTCAGTTGTGTCCGACTCTTTGTGACCCCACGGACTGTGGCCCACCAGGCTTCTCTGTCCATGGGATTCTCCAGGCAAGAATGCCGGAATGGATTGCCATTCCCTTCAATTAACTCTTAAATTGCCTAATATATTCTGTTGTAACAAATAAATACCCTCTTATGGACTTGTAAGTTTCTATACTTTAAGTATGAAATTCTTGGTTGTAAGGTATAGTATAATATTTAATTTTACCAATTTCTAATTTCTGATAACCTGATGGATATTGATATCATTTTAATTTGCATTTCTCTGATTACTGGTAACTTTATGCTTCCCTCTTTGAACTTACTAATGCTTTAAGATTTTTCTTCTCTGAACTGCCTACTTTTAGACTTTGCTCAGTTTTTTATCAGATATCTTGTTTTTGTCTTTTCTGTTTGCTGGAAAGAGACATTTCAGTCATTCTTCCAATATTGTAGATACTAACAGTTTAGGATATTGCAAATATCCTTTTTCCAGTTCACCACCAGATTCTAAACTATGTTTGTGTTATCTTTTATGAAATATAAATCTTTGATTTTAATATAATTGAGTCAACCAGTAGTAACCTTATAATCTGTACTTTTTGAGTTTTGAAATTATTATTATTAGAAATTATTATTTGATTAATAATAATCATTTTATTGATAGTTAATTATTTGATTAATTATAAATTATTATTATAAAACTGTTATTTGAAATTATTATTATTTAAAGTTACTTGAAAAATCCCTCTCTTCCAGGTCATAGAGCATTCCTTTTCCATTACCTTTAACATTTTACCAATTCACATTGTAATTTTGATTCATCTTGTTTTCACTGTTGTATATTGTATGAGGTAGGGGTCCAACTTAATTTTTTTTCTGTGTGATAAATTCAGTTTTACTAATCCCATCTATTACATAATCTGTACCTTACTGAGTAATTCCTGGTAGTACTTCTGGCATCCACTAAATATTCATGTTTGAATGAATCTGTGTCTCAGCTCTCTAATTTGTTATATTTGATTTTGTAATATACCTACATATAGTAAAAGAAGTCCTTTTTCATTTTTCCTCTTTCAAATTGCTTTCACTATTTATAGATCTTTATTTTTCCATACATATTTTATGATCAGTTTGCGTTTATATGAAATAAGTCCTGGAATTTCTATTTGAATCAGTTGAATTTATAGATAAGTTTTAGGAAGAAGTGATCACTTTATAACACTAAGTTATCCCATTTGTGGAAGAAAAGGTCGACTTTAAAGTTATTTAGTTAAGCTTTCTTCTTCTCTGTTAATAGTCTTGGGCACTTTTTGTTTAGTTACTAGCAGAACACTTAGTTTTTGTTGCTATTTTCTCCTTTAATTTCTAAAATTATTGCTGATATTGAGAAACACTATTGGTTTTTATAAGTTACCCTACATCTGGCAACCTGCTCAATTCTTTTGTTAGTTATTATAGTTTGTTTTTTGGTTTATGATAAGTTTTCTGTGTGGTTAATAGTAGTATATGCAGATATTTACTTTGTTTCTTTTCTTCGTAACCATTTATCTCTGTTCTTTCTATTGTGATGTTGTATTGACCAGGATCGTCATTACTTTGCTGTTCAGTAAAGTGATAGTGGACATCCTTCTCTGATTCCTAAATTCAAAGAGAGAATATCTAAAGTTTCTCCATTAACTGATGTTTACAATAGGATTTTGGTAAATATTCTTTATCTAGTTATTCCTAGACTTATAATTTTTTATTAAAACATAAATGAGTATTGAATTTTATTGAATTTGTTTTCCAAATATATTGATAAAATGCTGTGGTTTTTATTCTTTAATTCCTGAAGGTGATGGCTTTCATTGGTAGATACTTCTGATATTAATTCTTTTATTCTTAGATAAATCCAACTTGTTAAGGGTGTAAATCACTGCCTTTCTTTAACTCCCTGTGGAATTTTACTTCTTTTTGTCTATTTTATTTTTAATCTTTTTTTGTATTTATGTGTATGGCTATGAGTAACACAGGCCTAGTATTGTTCTTACTCTTCTTCTTTTTTTTTTTTTGTATTTTCCTTTGTGGTTTGTAAGTCAGTGTTATTTTAACCTCGTTAGAATTGTTGAACATCCTTCCCTTTTTTCTGTCTTATGAAATGATTTACATAATATAAAAGTTATCTATTTATTGAAAGTTGAGTAGAAATAACATTCAGTAATATGCATTTTTCATTTGCCACATACTTCCTCCTCCTTTTTCCCATATTATCTTACTTCTATGACCCACTCCAGTATCCTTATCCAGAAAATTCCATGGACAGAGAAGTCTGCTGGGCTATAGTACACAGGGTCACAAAGAGTCAGACATGACTGAGTGATTTCATGATTTTGTTTGCTGTCTTCAGTAGTACATATGGCTAAAGAACCATATTTGCTTATATAAAATTTTAAGTTTTATTATAAGCCTCACAATTGTAAAATCAAGTGAATATTTCCTCATAAAGTATATGAAAATGGGTAGTTTGTTTAATTTAATGTTATATCCTCAGTACCAACAAGAGTTCTTGGTGTAGGTACTTGATAAATATTAGTTGAATGAATAGATAAATAAGCGGTACCTGAAGATGGATAGGGCTTCCCTGGTGGCTCAATCAAGGACTTATGCTTCTACAAAATTATAATCTGTCAGGAAATAAGTTACAACATTTGAATGACTATAATATGACAGCACTATATCTTATCACTGTGTGTATGCTAGTTCTCAAGTGAGAAGTCTAGTAGTGATTCATAAGAGTACTGAAGTAATTTATTTGATAGTAGTGGTGTTAAGCAAGTCACCCAGACCTCAGCTTTCTCATATATAAAATGTGATAATAATGCTCAGTTGCGTCTTACTCTTTGGGACCCCATGAACTATATAGCCTGTCAGACTCCTCTGTTCATGGAATTCTCTGGGCAAGAATATTGATGTTGGTAGCCATTCACTTCTCCAGGGATTCTTCCCAACCCAAGGATTGAACCCAGGTGTTCTGCATTGCAGGGAGATTCTTTACCATCTCAGACACCAGAGAAGCCCAATCATTACCTACTTAGTGCAGTTA